TTTATAAGGAGGCTCATCACTTCCTCAAATTGCTGGATCATCTCTAGCTTCCCATGCCCTGTTCCTGTTTCCTGTGATTCTGACCTGTGATTTCCTGTTACCAACTCGGCTTGCTCCTGGACCTGTCTACTCTGCTTTACCCCTGACCTGACCTTGGCTTGGCTTACGGATACTCTCTCTCTCGCTCCTCTGTGTATGACCTCGGCTATCCCATCTGACTACGTCTGCTCTGATTCCCACCTGGTACCTGACCTTGACTTGAACCGACTACCCAGTAAACATTTAAATCCCGGAAGGGCTTACATACCACGCACAGGCACCTCCTGTCTGCAGACCTATCTCCGTGCACCAGCTGTGCTTCTGAGTGGACCAACAACCAGCACTCCTACAGGCGACCTGTGCAACTTTGGGCCAGACTTCCACTGTCCCACTCTCAGGGGAGTCCGAAACTTAGCCGCAAGGGAAGCCCTCTCTCCATTGGCCTCCATCACCAGGTACGTGATAAACCTTCTATATCTTAGACTGCTTCCCTTCCTTGTGAACGCTCTCCTGCTGTTCTCCCTTCTGTAGATACAAATGTTACTGCTCCTAATTCGGAGAAGGAGGAGGGGATATCCCCTTGTTCTTCTGGAGAAATTAGTTCAGAGGAAGAGGAAAGAGGTTCTAGGGAAAATTATTCCAGCAGATTTCTTTTCCCTGTAGAGGAGACGGATCAGTTGCTAAAGGCGATTTATACGTTAGAGCAGATTGAGGAGTAAATCCCCCTCAGTCTCAGATATGATGTATAGAGGTCTGCAGGAGAGAAAGAATAGACCAAATTAAAGGTGCAGAAATTGACATCCTCAGTCCAGACCCTCCGGTCACAGCATCTTGCATCCTTGAGAAAGATTCTCAGGTTAATGATGGCAGCCGTTCCCAGCATCCCTTGGGCCCAGCTTCACTCGAGAAGCTGCAAGCCTTCTTGCTAGTCTCCTGGGATCACAATCATGCTACCCTAAACAGAGTAGTGAATCTTCCACAAGATGATTCTTTGGGTCTAGATTGGTGGATTGGGGGAGTCATTTGGGTCCTTTTGATATGCCCAGGGAACTTGGGAGGAGGAGAACAAAGGACATCCGATTGGCTGCACTCCAAACAATCCACTTTATTGAACCAAGATAAAACCAATACAGACAGTGCAAATACAGTGAGGGACTGGCAGGTAAACATGTTTCACGCTAAAGACAGTGCTTATTCATTACCCGAACTTGGGAGTCGGATCTAAAAGGTGCTTCTTACAATTTCAAAGAACTATTGGCAGTAGGTTTGGCTCTAAGGGCCTTCTCGGATACTATCCACAACCAGGACATGTTAGTTTTTTCACACAAATGCCACTACAGTGGCTTATTTGAATCATCAGGGCCACACAAGATCTCTAAAATTACTTGCCCTAGCTCTGGAGATTCTGTTTTTGGCAGAGGGTTGTCTTAAATCTCTGAGAGTAGTCCATCTCTGGGGGTCAGACAATATTTTTGCTGATTTTCTCAGCAGGAATCCAGTACGTCAGGGGGAATGGGAGCTGAATGCTGAAGTTTTCGCACAGATCACAGATCGGTGGGGGTGTTCCAGAGGTGGAATTGTTTGCCTCAGCCAGAACCAGGAAAGTCCAGAACTTCTTTTCTCTAGAGAGAGAGTCTCGAGCCTTAGGGGCAGATGCTTTTATGGAGGTTTGGATCTTCAGTCTAGCTTATGCGTTTCCTTCGCTGGTAATCCTTCTGCAAGTTGTTTGGAAGATCACCCTGGAGGACTGCCAAGTGATTCTCATAGTGCCATACTGGCCCAAAAGGAGTTGGTTTGCGATCCTTTTGTCCCTGTCAGTGTCCCCTCCCCGGATTCTCCCGGACCGTTCGGATCGAACTTTTCCAAGGACCAGTTCTCCTTCCCAATCCTCATCTCTTCTGGCTGATGGCTTGGAGGCTGAAAGGCGGATCCTCAAATCTAAGCGATGTTTACAGAAGGTGATACAGACCCTTCTAAACAGTAGGAGGTTCTGCAGTAGAAAAAGTTATGCGAAGGTTTGGAGAACCTTTCTTTCTTGGATATCTAGATCAGGGAGGTGGGATACATCTATTCCAGTAGTGCTAGAGGATTCTCATGTTTCTATTGGCTAGGGAGAGACAGATCCCTAAGGTGCTTAAAATGGTTCCTTCGTGGGATCTGTCCCTAGTCTTGGATGCTCTCACGAAGACTCTGTTCGAGCCCTTGCCAGACTATTTTTTGAAGAGTCTTTCCAGTAAGATGGCCTTTTTGCTAGCAATTACATCAGCCAGAAGAGTGGGGGACTTGCAGTAGTTTTCTTGCAAGGATCCTTATTTAACCATTTTGGAAGACAGCGAAGTTTAACCATTTTGGAAGACAGCGAAGTTTTGAGACCTGATCCTATGTACCTTCCTAAGGTTTCATCAGATTTTCACCGCGCTTAGATAGTTACGTTGCCTTCTTTCTGCAGCTCCCCCAGGAATGTGAAGGAGACATTTCGTTTTTTAGATGTCAGAAGATGTTTGTTAGAATATTTGAGTGACCATACATTTCAGAAGATCTAGCCATCTTCTGGTTCTTTTCAGTAGTCCTAGGAAGGGTCTTTGTGCTTCAAAACGTTCTATTGCCAGATGGTTTTTGTGAAACTATTTTGTGTGCCTACAAGAGCTTGGGCCAGCAGCCTCCTTCCAAAGTTTGTGAACATTCTGCAAGAGCCTTATCAGTATCCTGGGCAGAGAGAGCAGGTGTTTTCATGGGAAGACATTTCCAGAGCAGCAGTTTAGATAAATAACCACGCCTTTGTTATACACTACTGTTTAGAACTTCTTTCTAACCAGGACTTGGCCTTTGAAAGGAAAGTTCTACAGGCAGTGGTCCCTCTCTAAGGTAGGAATATTTCTTGTTTATCCTCTCATGTAGCTGTCCTAGAAGACACTTTGGGAAAAAACCACAGTTACTTAGCATAACGGTCTTTCCGGGAGTCTTTCAGGACGGTATCCTAATTCCCACCCAATGTTTTTTCTTCATGTTGTGATGGTGATGGGGTGTGGTTTGGTTTTTGGTGTTTTTTTTCCCTCGTGTACACTGGTTACGGTCTTCTTTCCTAATTACTGAGGATGAGGGGGAGGGAGGGACTTTTAAATTGTATCAGTATTCTGTTTGCTGTAGGGGAGGAGCCAGTATCTGTCACGTAGCTGTCATGGAAGACTCCCAGAAAGACCATTCCCGTAAGTAACCATGGTTTTCCCCAACAGGGACATTGATGACAGATGATATTTGCCATAATTGTAACTATTTAACTCTATTCAAAGCAAACACAAAATGTTTTTTTTCTGTAGATATATACTTTAAAGTAAATTCTGGCCATAAATGATAATCCATCCTGTGTGAGAATTATTATTATACAGTATTTATATTGCGCCAAAAGGTTTGCTCAGCGCTGTACACTGGGCAGTACATGAGAAAATACAGTAACAAAACCAATACACGAGGGGTTCAAGGGCCCTGCTCTTTCGAGCTTACAATCTAGGAGGGAGGAGATAGTGGTACAGGAGGAAGTGGCTGTGGGGGATGGAGTGGTGGGAGGAGTGGAGTAGATCGGCTGTTAGGTGAGAGTGGGGTAGGCTTCCCTGAAGAGATGGGTTTTCAGGGTGCGCCTAAAGGTGAGGAGGGTAGGTGACAGTCTGATGGATTGGGGTAGTGAGTTCCAGAGGATGGGGTAAGTCCTGGAGAAGTCCAGTAGTCGGGCGTGGGAGGAGGAGACCAGGGAGCTAGAAAGAAGGAGGTCTTGTGGGGAGCGAAGAGTACGAGTTGGGTGGTATATGGGTATTAGGTCAGTGAGGTAGTTTGGGGCAGCGTTATGGATGGCTTTGTATGTCAATGTTAATAGTTTGAATTTAATGCGTTGGGCAATCAGAAGCCAGTGGAGGGAATGACAGAGGGGGGTGGCAGAAGCGGAGCGGTTGGTAAGGTGGATGAGTCTGACCGCTGAGTTCAGTATAGACTGAAGCGGGGATAGCCTGTGTTGGGGTAGGCCGGTGAGAAGGGAGTTGCAGTAGTCCAGAGGTGAGATAATAAGGGAGTGAACGAGTTGTTTAGTAGTGTCTGGGGTTAGGAACGTACATATTTTGGAGATGTTGCGGAGGTGGAGCCTGCATGAGTTTGCCAGCGATTGGACATGAGGTTGGAAGGACAGGTTTGAGTCTAGAGTGACACCTAGGACTTGCGGGTTGGGGACTGATGGTGGCGTTGTTGGTCGTGATGGAGAGGATGGGAGCGGGTGCGGGCTGGGGGGAAAATTAGGAGCTCGGTTTTGGAAAGGTTCAATTTGAGGAAATGGAGCGACATCCAGTCTGATATGTCGTTCAGTAGGTGGGTGATACGGGCGGAGACTGAAGAGGTGAGGTGAGGGGTGGAGAGGTAAATTTGCGTGTCATCGGCATAGAGGTGATAGTTGAAGCCGTGGGAGTGTATCAGTTTGCCAAGGGAAGAGCTGTAGATGGAGAAGAGAAGGGGCCCGAGGACAGAGCCTTGGGGGACCCCAACAGAGAGGCGGAGAGAGGGGGAGGTGTTAGCATTATAGGTAATGCTGAAGGAGCGTTGGGATAGATAGGAGGAGAGCCAGGAGAGAGCGGAGTCTCTGATGTCAAGGGAGTGTAGTTTATTAAGGAGGAGGGGGTGGTCAACTGTGTCAAAGGCCGCGGAAAGGTTGAGGAGTAGGAGGACTGAGTAGTTGCCATTAGCTTTGGTGGTTAGAAGGTCATTAGTGATTTTGAGTAGGGCGGTTTCGGTGGAGTGTTGGGGAGAAGCCAGACTGTAGTGGATCGAGGAGGTTGTTGTCAGCGAGGTGGGAGCTTAGGCGATTGTAGACTAAGCGCTCAAGGAGCTTGGATGTAAATGGCAGCAGAGAGATGAGTCTAAAGTGAATTAGAAGAATGATGTATTACCCTTATGCTCTCAGTGTGATTTTCTTCTATTTCTAGTTTTCTGGAAAACAGAGTCTTGGAGATGGAAGAGAAGCATCGAGAGGAAATAGATGTGCTAAAATCTGAGAAACTTCATGTAGAGGATTTACTCTCCAAGCAGAGTGGACAGAGTGGCCTCATCAGGGAACTGGGGCAGCAGCTCAATGATGCAATGCACAACAACAGCATCTTACAGCGACAGCAGGCGCAACTCATGGAGACTGTGGGCCAGCTAGCCACCCTGGTATCCCAATACAATCGTCAGTACAAATTTAATGTCTATATAAATGACTGCATCAATGCCAAAATTTAGATGCTTTTAGGAATAAAGCCACAAACTGGCAAGTGTTACACATTGTTTTACCCCTTATATATTTAATCACTTCATATTTTGTACCTTTATACCCTTTATGGACCACAGCAATTTTCCTTACCTGACTATTCAGCACTAAGTCACTAACATTGTCACTGCTTAAGATAATAACGTAATACATGCATTGTTTTTTTCGGAAGGGGGGGGGTAGACCTTTTTATTATTTTGTCCTGCAAAACAATTTTTTTTGTAATCTATCTTTTTTCTAATTTTAGTTTTAATGTTTTTTTAAGGCATTTATTAATTTTGTGACACTGCTAAAAAATAGACAAAATGAGTAAAAACAGAAAAAATGTAAATAATAAAGTTTTAAAAAAATAGAAATAATTAATAAAGGGGTAAATAGGAATCCTTTTTTTAAATATTTTTTTTACAATTATTTATAAGGTTTCTTTATCTGACGTCTAATGCAGATCACACCTTTGATCTACATATACTCTAAATGAAATAGTGTCTACAATGTAACATTGTATTACTCAATGACACTTGCAGATTGTCTACACCAACATATTTTTTTTAAGTGAAAGTTATTTTCAACTGAGTTCATTGACATTTGAAAATTAGTCACATGACTGAAATTATAATGCCTTAGGCTTGTTAGGCCCTGAGAATTGATCCTAATTTGTAAATATGTCACATTCCTCAGTTTTATTAGTAGAGTAATAAATATAATGGGTAACTAAGATCCATGAACAATATTTAAAATTTCTAATCAGCCAATCATTTATTGCATAGATGCTAATCACCTGTTCATACAATATAGTGTGGAATTCAAACGTTCGAGAATTACCTGCATTTGAACACGGGAAACACTTCAAATGATAAAGCGAAATCAAATCCATTTAACTGTTTCCCAAACCAGTTTCATCCAAGACATGCTGTGAATGATAACTGCCAAAGTTAGACTAAGTGGGGGGGGGGGTTGGCAACCTGTCGATAGCGATCTGTTTAGAACCATGATATTTAAATTGGTAAAAAATAATATGAAAATAAATTAACAAGAATAAAAAAAAAAAATACTGACACTGTTCACTGCCCTACTGACCCCATTCTCGGCCTTACTGACAAAGTCCACTGCCCTACTTTTACTGTCCACTGCTTTGCTGACACTGTCCACTGCCCTGCTGACATTGTAAAATTCCTTGACATTTTCCACGTGTGTGACCAACGTTAGGGTTCAATTGAAAATAAGCTTCACTCTCTTTCTTGAACATCTAAAATGATATATTGTACACTGTGATGAATGCAGAAGCAGATTAGTATTTTTGACAAATAACACCATTCTGTAGTGCTTTATGTAAAATAAATCATGCAAAAAAGATTGGATTACACATTAGTTGTAGCTCTCAGTGTAGTGTTAGTGGATGCCCAGTGATTGTAAATCTTATAAAAATTGATTGCTTACAGTCTGTATAAAAAGCACTCTCCTAAAAGGTCATGAAACATATTCCTTCCTCCCTATTTTCTGAAGCAGTAATGTACAACATACATTTATTGCTACATAGATACAATTTCATGAGGCGCAAATACTTTGCTTATTTATTAGCAGTAAAGTTACACAAGAATAATTTTGTACGGACATTTAAATGAAAATTATTGTCAGAACATTCTTAGAATGCACTTTTTTGATACAATGAGTCAACTAATTTCTTTCAAAATCCTCTAAAATTTTGTCAATATCTGCCATTTGAATGTAGTCCCAGATATATTAGACAGGTTTCATTAAAATATGGATGATTTTTCCAGGACGAAAACCACACTCACAGTTACAATTTCTTTCTCGAACAGAAACCACAGTTAGAATTTCTTTCAATTTCCATCCAGTTCCTTCACATTTTTTTTGGTACTATGGTCAAAAATGTGATTTGGCCCCACTAACCATTAGAAAATTGAATGAATATTTCAAAAACAAAAATGTTTGTACAAAATTCTGCGAAGTATGTGGTCATCTTTAGGATAGCCAAAGAGGCACAGATGTCTCCCCAAGGACGTTTGGGTGTACATTTGACATCTGTAGTACCAATTAGAACCCCCTGCAAACTGCCAATTACCTGAAATGACACATGTACAATTAGCACTTTCATTACTCTTCTCATTGAGTAGAGGGACAACCAACCAGGTCAAAGATAAATTCTGGAATACAAAGTACTTCCAATCTTGAAAGTATGTGTCATCTTCTCTAAGGGATGCCTATACATGACCTGATTCTCACCCCAGTTTTACATATGGTGACATTTGGCTATGTATGGCTAGCCTAGCAATCTATAAAAGCTACCGTATTTTTCGCACCATAAGACGCACTTTTTTCCCCCAAAAAAAGGGGGGAAAATGTCAGTGCGTCTTATGGAGCGAATATGGAGTGGCCGGTCCGGTATTTCCACTGCCGCCGTGTCAGAATACCGGGCCGGCTGCTCAGCTCTACAGCGGGACCTTTTAGAGATGACTGCTGACCTTTGGGGAGGGGGGGGAGCGGGTACCTGAATTTGACAGATACCCGCTCCCACTTCCGTGGAGTTGTTCTTTCATCTTACCCGTTCCTCTATCCAGCGGCGCGGTCTTCCCGGATTCTGTAGTGTGGGCATGACAGCCAGGTGCCAAGTGCGCATGCGCAGGAAGCGTGCTTTTTGTGAATGGTAAGGCGGCACCTGGGACACATGACAGATCCCAGAAGCCGCCGGACCAATCACAAAGCGCAAGTGCTTCTCGCTCATGCGCACTGGGCACCCGGCTGTCATGCCGAGCGCCATTACAGAAGCCGGGAAGACAGCGCGCCTGGATAGAGGAACAGGTAAGATGAAAGAACAACTCCGCGGAAGTGGGAGCGGGTATCTGTCAAATTCATGTACCCGCTCCCCACCTCCCCAAAGGTCAGCAGTCATCCCCTGTACTATCCACAGTCTCTGGTCATCTCTGTGCTGTCCGCAGTCTCTGGTCATCCCTGTACTGTGTCCGCAGTCTCTGGTCATCTCCTGTACTGTGTCCGCAGTCTCTGGTCATCTCCTGTACTGTGTCCGCAGTCTCTGGTCATCTCCTGTACTGTGTCCGCAGTCTCTGGTCATCTCCTGCACTGTGTCCGCAGTCTCTGGTCATCCCCTGTACTGTGTCCGCAGTCTCTGGTCATCTCCTCTACTATGTCCGCAGTCTCTGGTCATCTCCTGTACTATGTCTACAGTCCATTAGTTCAGAATTTTTTTTTCCTGTTTTCTGCCTCTAAAACCTAGGTGCGTCTTATGGTCAGGTGCGTCTTATGGAGCGAAAAATACGGTAATCAGAATCCGCTTTAAATGTTAAAAAATGTACCTGGAGTTGGTTAAAAAATATTAACCTTTCAATACCGGACACTTTCACCCCCTTCCTGCCCAGGACAATTTTCAGTTTTCAGCGCTGTCACACTTTGAATGACAATAACTCAGTCATGCGACACTGAACCCAAAATAAATTTTTATTATTTTATTCACACAAATAGAGCTTTCCTTTGGTGCTATTTAATTACCACTGGATTTATATTTTTTGCTAAATCAACAAAAAAATACTGAAAATAGTGAAAAAAGTGCTTTTCTTCATTTCTGCTATAAAATTTAGCAAACAATTTTTCGTCATACATTTAGGCCAAAATGTATTCTGCCACTTTCTTTGGGGCAAATAAACCCAATCAGTGTATATTATTTAGTCTTTAGGAAAGTTATAGAGTCTACAAACTGATATATATATATATATATATATATATACAGGTGAAACTCAAAAAATTTGAATATCGTGCAAAAGTTCATTTATTTCAGTAATGCAACTTAAAAGGTGAAACTAATATATGAGATAGACTCATTACATGCAAAGCTATATAGTTCAAGCCGTCATTTGTCATAATTGTGATGATTATGGCTTACAGCTCATGAAAACCCTAAATCCACAATCTCAGAAAATTTGAATATTACATGCAATCAATAAAACAAGAACAATATCGGACCTCTGAAAAGTATAAGCATGCATATGTACTCAGTACTTGGTTTGGACCCCTTTTGCAGCAATTACTGCCTCAAAGCGGCGTGGCATGGAAGCTATCAGCCTGTGGCACTGCTGAGGTGTTATGGAAGACCAGGATGCTTCAATAGCGGCCTTCAGCTCTTCTGCATTGTTTGGTCTCATGTCTCTCATCTTTCCCTTGGCAATGCCCCATAGACTCTCTATGGGGCTTAGGTCAGGCGTGTTTGCTGGCCAATCAAGCACAGTAATCCCATGGTCATTGAACCAGGTTTTGGTGCTTTTGGCAATGTGGGCAGGTGCCAAGTCCTGCTGGAAAATGAAGTCAGCATCCCCATAAAGCTTGTCTGCAGAAGGAAGCATGAAGTGCTCCAAAATCTCCTGGTAGACGGCTGCGTTGACCCTGGACTTAATGAAGCACAGTGGACCAACACCAGCAGATGACATGGCTCCCCAAATCAAAACAGACTGTGGAAACTTCACACTGGACTTCAAGCATCTTGCAGTGTGTGCCTCTCCATTCTTCCTCCATACTCTGGGTCCTTGGTTTCCAAATGAGATGTAAAAGTTTCTCTCATCAGAAAAGAGGACTTTGGACCACTGAGCAACAGACCAGGTCTGTTTTTCTTTAGCCCAGGTAAGATGCTTCTGAAGTTTTTTGTTCAGGAGAGGCTTGACAAGAGGAATACGACATTTGAAGCCCATGTCTAGGATCCGTCTGTGTGTGGTGGCTCTTGATACACCGACTCCAGCCTCAGTCCACTCCTTGTGAAAGTCCCCAACACTTTTGAATGGCCTTTTCCTGACAATCCTCTCCAGGCTGCAGTCATCCCTGCTGCTTGTGCACCTTTTTCTTCCACACTTTTCCCTTCCACATAACTTTCTATTAATGTGCTTTGATACAGCACT